TTGATTTGCAGTAGCTAATAGACATTTTATTCAACCAGTTTTTCTATATATTCATTAAATCTGTTGTTACAGTTAAAAGTGTTATGCATTTCATTGAAGGAGTTTTTTTTGTTTTTTTTTTTTCCACCCAGCCCGAGTACCACTGTGCACTTGGGCAACAGTGACAAAAGTTTACTATGGCTATAGACATGAATTATGCAAGTTTGTCTATGGTACACAATGTATATAAGGGGCTTCACATTAGATTTCACTGTCAAACCCCATATAAGATTTTGGGAACCCTGAATCAACACTCTTGAGACAACACACCAGCCCCAACTGAGAAGGGAAAAGAAAGACAAATAACCATATGGTCAGTATTACTCAACAAAACCAGCAGATTAACAACTTGTAATTGAGAGGAAAAAGAGAAGAGAGAGCTTGGAGACAGGGGGAGTGTGGATTGTGAGTTAAGAAGTGATAAATGTCACTTGGTGGATTACAGTACAGGAACCAGTGTTTCAATATGATATGGCTGTAAGCCTGGAGTGATAATCTGCTCCCATAGATTCAGTAAAGGGTTCAGTTTGAAATTCCCCGAAGATTACTCAGATCAACAAGGAACCTGATGATGGTCAGAAGACACAATGACCAAAATGAAGAAGATAGTCTGAATGTAAATAAGAAAATTAGATTACTGCTCTGAAATTTAATGAGGGTTGAGTAAATATCCAAAACAAAACTAAGAGTAATTGAATATGGCACAATGTCAAAATATGAAGAAACACGTATCAAGTAAATTCTCTTAGTGCAGAGGGCTTGTGTAGAAAATCTGCATATATTTCATCTGTCAAGTTTAAAATGTGCTAAGGACACTATTGACTAGTGGGTTTTTAACTCACTGCAGTAATGAATAGCCAACAAACCACAGTAGATTATGTCAAATTTAAGCTGGTTGTGATTACCTGCTCTTCTAGAAAATCAGTCTACTTGTAAAGAAAACTGTTTTCTTTGGAACCCTCAAATTTCAAGAGGGAAAAAGCAAATTCTTCCAAACTTTGGACAGAGACTCTGAAAATTTTAATTTTAAGCATAAACAACCACAACTAAGCTTTTTAACAGAACAACTCTGGCCATTTTGCATTCTATGGTTGTTAAGCAGGAAAATATATTCTTTGATAAGGTTTGATCTCATTCTGTATTTTTTGTGGCTTATCTGACATGGACAATTTGTCCCCTTTAAAATACGATACAAGTTTCCTTTATTTCTGGTCTATATGGTTTCAGGATTGTAAAATGCAAAATAATCTGAGCATGCAGATAAAAACCAACAAAAATACAATGAATTAATCAGGAAAAAAGAAAGGTGTTAAATCAACTATTTCATGTAACAAAACCAGACAGCAGAACATTAATGAACCGTGCTGGCCAATTTTCCTTTGTTAGTCTCAAGAAGAAATGAAAAGTTTTTATAAAATTAACATTGGCAAGTTTAAACAAATATTTCTGAAGTTGTAAGAGTTGGATGTTTTCTTTGCATCAAGTTGACCAACAAAAATCAAAACTTTCTAGTTAATTTGCAAATATTAGAAAAATAATAAAGAGTGGATGACAGTGTTAATAATCAGTGTTATTACAAGCCAACTAATCAATTTCATGACCTAACATGATGAAAATGGACAATCAATAAAGTCCAATTTAATATGGATACAAGGTCAGTGTACTTGATAAATGGCAAATTTAGATTTTACAGTAATTGTTACTCAATATTATATTTTGTTGATGCCAGTTTGTTGTTCAGGTATATATATATATATATAAAACATTATTATACAATTTCTTACAGATATTTTATAATATAAAGGTGTTTATTCACTACAGCTTTTAATTGAAAGTACAGTGTGCAGCAGAAATACCAATCACATAAGACATCTTTTTTACTCTCATTAATTGTATTTTTGTTGCTTTTTATCTGCATGCTAAGTTCATTTTGCAATCATGGAACCATATAGATCAGAAATGAAACTTATATCTTATTTTAAAGGGGACAAATTGTCCATATCAGATAAGCCACCATCTAGCTAATGTCTTGCCATTAGGTGGGAGGTATTTCTGCCAAATCCTGTATAAAATGAATGAAGAAAGAAAAATGGGCAATCTTGAAACTTTGACAAAACAGTGTGGCAAAAGGACGGTGCCCACCTTGACACTGCTTTTTAAGAACAATGCCAGGGGAATGAAGGTAGTTAAATAGTGGTGTCAAGGGAAAAAAATGCCCTTTTGATAGTTTTTTTTCTTTGGTGGGTGGGGCATGAAGGTCCAAGGTTGCTTTGGATAAAATAAAATAAATAAAAATAAAAAGAAAGTTATGAGCTTTTCAGCACCCCTCTTCCAATTTTTCTTGTGAAAATCTAATGTGCCTTATTGGAGTTGTGGTCATGAGAGTTCACTTTAAAAAATAAAAAGTGAAGTCATCTCAGTGTTTAGCAGTTCATTCCATCAGCACAGCTTACCTTTTCTTTTGCACTATATTGGAAGCTGTTGTGTTAATGTCCTCAATACATCTGAAAGAGAAACATGTAGGCAGACACAGAAACAAAAGGAGGTGTTGAAAAGCTATCAGTCCAACCAACTTTATAAACATCAGAATTTGTTTCTGAATCCCTTGTTCATGGCAAGGGCTTTTCAGCAGGCACTCCTATAATACAGTATGCATCAGATATTCAAGTGGTTTATAAATACAAGATGCTCTAATATTAAGCAGCAGGTGATAAATTTTAAGCTTATTTCTCTTAAGAGAGAAAGCTACCTGTGTTCCAGGAGGATCCTGTTTCCTCCTACATAACCTAGGAATGCTTATCTGAAGGAATTTTTTTTTTTTCATTATGTCACCCTCAATATTTAACTTCAATGCTCTCCCAATCTGAATCTCCAGGACCATAAGAGAGAACAATCAAAACAACAAACAAAAACCAAAGGCTTAATCAAGACTCATCATACTAATGGTGACCCACATGAACAAGAACCATTTTAAATGAAATTGATTAGTTCTTGAAAATTTATCTGGTGCACATTGTACCTGTACTAATTATAATAAGGACTCATTTTAGAAGTATCTTATTTACCTAAAAAGATGCTAGCAAAAATAATGCAATGTAGACAAGAGTCAAAATTCAAATATTCAAAATTTATCAGAACAGATATATTTAACACATTAAACTCAGTAAAATACAAAAGGCAACACATACCAGAAACTGAATACACAGTTTAAAATATTTTTGTGCTGGAAACTTAGCACGCAGCTAATATTATGTCTAGAAATTTCTTGTCTGGACAAATAGAAAACAGGGCAAACATGAAAAGGAGAGAAAAGTTAATATGTACAAAGCAGATTTATTTATTTATTTTTTTGTTCTTTTTCAGAAAAGACAAATGAAGTCACTTAAGTGACAGTCATTTGCTCCCGCCAATAAAACAGAATTATAAAAATTTACATTTTATAGTTGAATTTTGTAATTTCATTTTTTTCAAAATGAATTTTCATTCTCCAACAAGTGCAATATTTCTCTTGCACTTTAAAACATGAAGAGACTCGAATGAAAATTAAATGCCATTCTGATTGCAGAAGCCTTAGACGAACATTATGAAGTTCTTCAAATACTGACATTTAACAGAAAGATTAATTTGCAAATCTGTTTTGAAATAGTAAATGATTTTTACTGAGAAGATAAGTTTTAGTATTTCAATAATGTTGAGAAAACATTTACTAAGACAATGTTGAAAATGTTTAGACCTTGAGGAAAAGTTGTTTTAAATAAGGAAGTAAGAGCATTTTGTTTCAAACCAATTTCTTTATTCATGAATCTGCTGTACACATGAGCAACAACAATTTCTTTTCCCTTTCATTTGCTCCCTGTTGTCAACTTGAGCAGAATGCTTCAAGCATTTCATTCAACCTGTCATTTCTAGAGTGATGCATATTAATTCTGGTGGGTTTGTATCAATACATCCATGTATTGGAGACAGCTGCTGTAGTGTCTGTTACTTCTTTTGTTATTTTTGGAGAAGAAAAAAAAATTTTTTTTTTTTGAGGCATCCCAATCATTGGTATCAAATATCAGACCACTAGCCTTATCACATGCAGCCAGGTTCAGACATCTTGACCCACTGCATATATGTGTACCTTAACAGCAGAACTTTTTATTTTTACCTTTTTTTTTTACAACTACAATGCAGACAATTGTGTCATACTTTAAATTCCTTTCTTTTATTAGATTTTTTTTATTGTTTATACAATCTTTTAAAAAAAAAAAAAAAAAAGATTTAAACATAGGTATGCCTTTCATTTGTTTGGACCATTTGTTTTCATCTAAACTTAAAAGGGAATCACAAAATAAGGATTACGGGATTTGACAAAATATTTTATAGAAATTCTTATGAATGAGAATGAAATCAAGGAAAATTATTTTTTGGCATTGAACGTGGATGTTGAAGTTAGCGGTAATGAGAGCAGTGTAACTACAAGTTTAGGCTTAGAGAGAAGAAAAATCCCAATTGTCCATTGTGTTTGCTGTTAGTGAAAGTTAGAAACGTTTTTTGTTTTTGTATTTTTAATATTGGCAGGAATTAAAAAGAAAAAAAAAAAAAAAAGGGGGGGGGGGGAGAAAAAATTTTTTTTGAAAGATTCATTTTCATATGAGAAAATGCTAAAATTGGGCAAAAGTTGCATGCCAAAAAGAAAATAGAAATAAGTCAATAAAAATGAAGCAATAAGTGGTATCCCAAGTGAAACCAAGGATAACCAGCCTTTCTTGTACCCCCAATATACATCAATTATATTTTCAAATTTGCCTCTCCATTTTTTAATTTTTTTTTTTTTTTTTTTTTAAATATCAAATGTGAGTCTATGAAGAATGTTTCAGAGGTGAACAACAGCAGCTGTTCCTCGGAATGGTCAGTGCAGCCCACCTGCATGGTTGTGGCACATCAAACCCAGTCCTTGTCAGTCTCCTCCTCCTCTCCTAACATCCACAGCCTTCCCGGGGTTTGTTTTGTTCACTTGTAAGCTTAATCTGGTCAGGAAATTCATTATACATCCCCACTTCTGGTTCTTGGGCCAATGCATTTTTGGCCACAGTTTGAAAAGCCTGTTCAACATTAATAGCTTCTTTTGCACTTGTTTCAAAGTATGGTATATCTCCCTTGCCATGGCACCATCCTTGAGCTCTTTTTGCAGAAACCTGAAGGGAAAAAAAAAAAAAAAAAAATCATTTGCTATGTTTTCATTTTCTTAACAAAATAGATGTTCTTTGTGATCAACTTCAAGTTTAAAAACAAAAAGTTAAAGAGATTAGAAAATCTCAAATTTGTAACCAAAAGTAAAACAAATGGATACAAGATTTAAGTAACCAACACACATACAGAAGCATATCCTTCCTGCTACCAAACTTTTGAAATGCCAATCACATGCCATACTTGTGCATGAAATGTGGACACCAAATAAAATATCTAAACTATTTCTTTTATTTACAAAATATTAAATGATTAGGATTTCATAAATGAATACTTAATAGATTAGAGAAATGAAAGTCACATTTTACTAATTTTACAAAGATCCACACTCAACCATAACATCAAAATATATTTGTTCCTCAATATAAAAGTTAATAACCAGAAAAAGAAAAGTCAAATTAATATTAATTTAATTTATAACAGTTTCAATTTATTTTTTATCCATAATACAAAAGTTAAGCAAAAGTACCAATCAACTAATGATGATCAGCTTTGAAATTACCCAAAATTAAATATGCTAGACAAATTTGACCTAGGACACTTTCATCTTTCACTTCAAATTTTGAATACTAGCTGTGACTTTCAAATCAAATCTACTGTATAGATGAATATAAAGAAATGAAATCATGAGTGTTTGCAGCATCTTTCCTTCCCAACAAATTCTATAGATCTCTACTTTCTACAAGTGTTCTGGTGAAAATTTTAAAAACAGATTATGTATAGAAAAAAAAAAAAATTTTATAAAGTTATAAAATTTTCCCTAACCAAAATAAACATGAATTCTAATTTTTTAGAATTAAATTAAAACAAGCATTACTTTTTGGCCTAAACTTCTGAACAGAGAAGTGATTAAAGTCAGCATTTTAATGGGAGATTGCAAACTATAACCCCACTGTTTCAATTACAATGACTTGTGGGCTTATTGAGTCTGGAAGCAAAGAGTTTATAGATTAATTTAAATTCTAAGTTTGTATTTTGTGAAATATTGTTAAATCTTACTTACTGCTCTGTTCTCTAAATCAATTTTATTTCCTATTACAACAAAGGGAAAGTTTTCAGGATCTCGGGGACTGGCCTGTATAAGGAATTCATCTCTCCAACCTTCCAGGGATTTGAAAGTATTTTGTGCTGTTACATCAAAAACTAGCACACAGCAGTCAGCTCCTCTGTAAAAAGCAACACCAAGACTCTGAAACCTTTCTTGGCCAGCTGTATCCCAGATCTGAAAATTGATAAAGTCAATGAGAATATTTCATTAAAAAAGAAAAAAAAGTCTTTGTACTTTAAGAAAAATTTTGAAACAGTTGGTTTCAAAGTGTTTAAACTCTAACATTTTACAACATAGGATTTCATAATCCTGAAATAACTCGAGATAGAAAGTTAATATCTATACATCATAGGGCCCAACTTGAAGTAACATTTTTCATAAGGAAAAATTTTATACTGTAAATTAGAAAATATCTATAAATACACCCCGCCCCAAAAAAAAAAAAAAAAAAAAAAAAAAAAAAAAACGGAATTGGGCCCTTTTGAAATTGCATCATTGCAAAAACTTGACAATACATCCCCAAGGTTTCATTAATCTCCTGCCCCTCTTCTCCATTACTCGTAAATTGTTAAAGAGCTAAGCTTCAGGTGAGAGAGATTTTGCCCATCAATTAAATTGGCTGCTTTCCTGGTAAAGGAACAGATTTCAATAAATTAACAAGGCTATCTGATTTTTTAAACCAGGTAAAAATGCTTGTTACTGTAACCAGTTTCAGACAACTGCATCAGTTATTGTCTTTGGAGAATAAAGAGCTGTTTGTATTTAGTGATCATAAAATGTTTCCATTTCTGGATGTAGACTGAAGTTTTCAAAGTGCCCCTCAAAATCTTGCATACCCATTCTCACAGACTTCATGTCAAGCTCCACACCTATCATATCAAATTTAAATTTCCTTTCTCATTTGATCTTATTCTCTCTGACCAAACAAAATGCCTCATGGTAAATTGTTGTGCCCGTCTACTTACTGGTAATCTGAATCACCCGACTGAAGTGACAGTCGAGAACTAGTGATTGGTTTTTTACTGCTTGCCTCCTACAGACATCTGTGAAAACAGTTTACTCAGTTTCTGGAAGAGACATGTTGATATTAGATATTACACAATTCTTCTTTAAAAAAAAAAAAAAAAAAAAAAAAAAAGAACACATTTAGCATGTTTATCTGGCTAGGTATACATTTTACTGCTTCCAGACTTGGCAGAAGAACAACCAGAGTTGTTTTGAATAAAATCTACTTACAGTTGGCAAATGGAAATTTTTGCTTGAAATCAAAACAAGCAATTTGTGTTGCCCATTGTTCCAGTCACCCGCCCTTCTCTTTTCATAAATTACATTGGCTTTTAAATTTCAAAGGACTATCTAACAGCAATATTTTTCTTAGCCCTAATCTAGTAGCTGTAACATCTTTAATAATAGAAGGGGCCAAATCTACATAACACATGTATTTATTATGTTCTAGATTTGAAATTATGCCCTTAGTTATCAGGCTGCTGCTAATTTGAATCAATATTAAACTGGATCAGGAAAAATGTGAAGTTGGAAACTCAATGAGATTTTTATATATACACACACACAGTCTTTTTTATATAAGGTGCTTACATTAAGCTTGTTTAAAAAAAAAAAAAATTTTTCTTCTTCATAAGTTTTAAACTTATGAAAATTTAGAAAAGAAGATTTTACTTTTGCCAAAGTCAAAAACTGAGTTAATGACCAAACAATAGGCAGCCTATGGCTAATTTTGAGTCAGTTGTTCATACTTAAGTGTGGAAGTGTCATTAATATGAGAAGGGTGCTTGACAGATAAGGCCAACTGTATTTCGATTTGAAATGTTATTGACACTAGTCAGTTTTTCAAAGTCTAATTTGATAGATGCTTGATATTTATGTACTTTTGTCGTCACTGTAATTTAATAATTTGAGTTTATTAATATTTCTGCTAACAATTTTTTCCAGACTGATGGAATGTTCCCCTCTAAATGTCCTAAGGGGGAAGAGGAGAAAAAAAAAAAAAAAAAAATTTCTCATTTTAATATTTTTTGCTAATTGATAGTCTCATTATTAAAAATAGTGCTCATACAAAATATTTTACAATATTCTCTTAAGTCATACAAGAACATTGCTAAAAATAACACCAGGCCTACCCAAACATTTGGAATTGCAACCTGTCTTTTTTTTTTTTTTTTTGTTAAAAAGGAAATCTTGACTCCATGTTTGGTAAAAGACATTTAGACTTCCTTACCTGTTCCTCAATCACATGGCATGAAGATAGGAAAACTGTGTCAATATTACAATTTTTCACTATGGTTATTAAACTTTAAAATTACAGATTTGCCTGCAATTATAAAGTTATTTCTTGCAGGGAAAAATTGAAACAACTAGTAAATAATGATCCTGTAGTAGTAGTAATAACAATAACAACTCAAGTGCACTACCCACTCTCCAATGTTTACATTAGTCCAAAGGTGTCACATTCTTCACTTTGGGAAGGGCATGACTAATTATACAATTTTAGTATTTCATTTAAAATAGAGCTTACATTTTCTTTTTAAGGAAAGTACATTAACTATTTCTGAATGAGTTATGTTTCTATAGAAGAGGAAATGGAAAACATTTTAGATGCTGTTTGATAGTTTCATCAAAAGTGTCTAAAGTTGATACCAACAGTTTTTTTTTTTTTTTTTTTGAGCAGCACAAAAATACAGGCAATGCTTCAATTCAATAAATTTATATAAACATAATCAAGTTATACTACAGAACTTAGTACAGATATAGTTTACCTTCTGACTAAGTCTATGCAAGAAAAAAAAAAAAAAAAAACAACAAGATTTTCAGTCACTAACAAATTCCAATCTACAATTATAAAAGAATTTCCACAGTAATGATTATTCAAAAAATCCTGGATAATAACAGTATATTGTGAATGCTCATCAAACAGGAGTTAATTAGTCAAAGATAAGTTATATACTATCATAAAGAGGATTCAATCTATTATGCAAGGAAATGAATTGTGTAGATAAGGAGGAAGTTATCTTGTCGGCTGAAATTGAACATCATAAAATTATACAAGATTTAGGTTCTTTATTCTGAGTAATTTCTAAACTATTTAACACACACATGCAGAGAAGATATCTCCAACTGTTACCAGATTAATGAATGCATAAATTTAAAGTGCATTTCTTCTTGTGAATGTACATGAAATACAATGTTTCAGCAAAGGCCCTGACAAGAACCCAATTAGGTAAATTGACAAATGTTAACATGTGGATATTAGTTTCATCTTTTAATAAGTAGTTTTCATATTTTGACAAGATTCCAAGCAATTGGCTTAATATATATATATATATATATATATATTTTAATTGGATGTTAAAAAGCTAAAACTTATTCACCAAAATCCTCACACATAAATACTAAGCATTCTATTAGCTTATGTCAGATTATAGCATTAAAGAATATAAAGAATGCATTCTCACAAACCTTAGACGATTTACAATCTTTTGCTAACTAATTTAACGCTTGTCAACCATGTTTAAATTTCTTCACTATTCCAGTAACAGATTATTAGAATCCATGAACTGGTGAAATTACCTGCATTGTAACAAGCCTGTCTTCCACCATGACTTCTTTTGTTAAGAAGTCAGCGCCTATAGTTGCCTTATACTGGTTGCTGAACTTCTTATTCACATACTGATTCATCAAAGAGGTCTTGCCAACTCTGAAAGAAAAGATTTTAGTTATGATTTCTGAAAAGAATATTCTCAAGCCAAGCAAGTGTTCAATAATCATTAAAAGTAATCAGAGTGATTTATCAAAAAAATATAGAATTCAGAAGAAAAAAAAAAAAAAAAAAAAAAAATTAAAGTCAAAACTGTCCAAGACAAACAAAATGGCTTTAAAAAGACTAATAATTTTAGAATTAATCTTCAGAGGATTACAGAGATATACGATAGTATGTAAAAAAAAAAAAAACACACATCTAGATGTTTATTTAGTGATGAGCTAAGCATTGCATCTAGAGTTTTTCCTAAATTTAAATATCAATACTTATATAGGCTGCATATTTAAGAGAATTTTTTTTTTTCTTTACATATGTAAGTTTAAGTTTAGCAAAAAAATATGCACATTTCATTTAAAATTAAATACAAAGTAAAATCAGCAAAAGCAGATTATTTTTTTCTTTATTCCTTTCTTTTTATTGTCCTTGTTTTTTAGGAAATGGATTAAATTCAATATTTTTAATTTGTTTAGATGTTATTTTTATTAGATCCTCATATTTAAGTAGAAGTTCTGTCTTTATTCATAAACAGTATATTTATATCGACTGGCCTGAATATTTGAGAAATTGTTAGAAAAATGTGCTCTCTAGTAGGATTCAAATTTGCATATCCTAGAGGAAAACAATCATTACATCTGATGTGCCTTGACCTCTTGGCCATGTAGGACCTCCAAATCAAAAAAACCTGAATAGTGCTTTTGAACACGTCTTTCCGGATTTGCAAAATCTTTATTTGCTGCAATGTCACAAAGAAAAATACCTCAGCCTTATTTGAAAATGGAAATATTTTTTAAAGTATTATTAATTTCAAGCCAAATTAATCCTTGCCATAAATAAAATTACTCCCACCTCTATATAATTAAACTTGAAAAGAAGCAGTAGTATAGAAAGATTTGCAGAAACTTGAAAAATGTTTGGTATTTAAAAGAGCTCTTAAATGTACTCAGATATTTGTTAGGTAAAATTTGGCTTTTATATTTAGATGATACATCACGAAAAGTCATTATATTGTTGAAAAGCATTGATTTGAAAGAAAGGAATGAGAGCAGTAACAAACTATAAAAGTGTTTAATAGAAAATGGGATTTGTAAGAAAATTGGTCAAATTTGCTCAATCTAAGAATATTAAGGCTTATAAACATCAGAAGTCTATTAAGAGAAATTATAAAACTTACAAATAACCCAAATTATGGTTTAACATAGATAACCGGCAATATAAAGGATTAACATAAATAGCATTGTCTGCTTTTAGCTTTGCTGATCAATTTTAATCTTATGACTAGAAAATTTAATCCTAAATGAAATGTTTGAGCAGAGAAATTCCATTAATATTTGTAATTTAGGCTATTTTTATAAGATTTATGATTGGTGGGAAAACAAAAACAATCTAGTGCATGTGTGTGTGTTCTAAATAATCCATAGCTAACATTTATAGTTATTTTCAACAAATCAAATATTAGTAATTATTTCAAAATAAAGCATGAACACAATTTATGAAAATACCATTGAACATTTATCCTTAAATGACTTTAAAATTGACATTTTTGTAACAGAAAAATCATACGCTAGAAATATTTCGAGATTTTAATTTTTGAGGACTTGTATACATGACCAATTTTCAACAATGCAAAGACTCAAGTTGGAATAGCTATGTTCTATATCTTTGTTGTACTGAAACTGAATCTTTTCTATAACCAATTGAAATCAGAATCAACTGAATTGGTTAATTACATAAAAAAGTCTAGTCACTGAAGAATAGAAAACCAGTTTTATCTACTATAGATATTTTTAAAATTTAAAGACAGCAAGAAGTTTGTAATATTTACTTTAAATATTATCTCAGACAATATACCAAAAACAAAATGACAAAAGTGCAACTAGTGAAATTATAATTCAAAACAAAAAAATACTCTTGTTATATACTTATTACACTTAAGATCACAAATGATAATATTTACAAAAGCCTTTTCTATAATGCAAACAAGCCTTAATATTGTAAAAGGGTATTCAAATCATGTGGATATTTTGTTTTCATAAATTTATTTTGTAATGTCAAATTATGGTGAGGATAGATAATTATAAAAATAAATCCTTTACTATAAAAGTTGGCTTTACTACATTTTTTTTTCATATTCCTCAATAAAGATTCCAATTGCCACCCCCACACCAATTGACAGATTTACATGAAAGTCAAACTTCCTTTTATCAATCCCTAATTCTCATTCATTTATTCCACAGTACTCAAAATACCTTCAAAACACCTCATACCAAGAATATGGTAATCTACTTTAGTAATAAAATTTTCTGTAAACAATTTTCATCAATATTTTTTTTTAACTATTAGAGCAAAATAGGGGATTAATTCCTGTTTAAATTTAAGCTGATGCCTCAAAAATTACTTTCTAGATTCAATTTAAAGAATCAGTTAAATTTTGATTTGATAAATCAACAATTAGTTCTTTTGTGTGAGATTATAGATACACACACACAGAGCATATAAGCTATTAATGTTGATAATTGGGAGAAAACAAGAAACTGATATTAAAAGTTCAGTTAAAGATGCTACAGTTTAATAAGATCATTCTATGATTTAGCATTTGACAAAAATTAACATTAACAACCTGGCAGAACTCATTCCTAATTCAATTAACATTAACAACCTGGCAGAACTCATTCCTAATTCAAAATCTAAAAAGCTAAACCTCACCTTTTGTTATTGATCACGTTACTAAGCAAATTTTTAAGAGTTAAAAAAAGAAAATGCAAAAAGTTTCAAGTCCTTTAATAAGCTTTGCTTTAAAATAGTACTCTAAAAGAATTTTAAATGTATACTGTATTTCTCAGATAGGTTTAAGAGTCAGTCCTTTGTTGGAGGACATCATTGGTCAAGACAATGAACATTATACAATTATCTGTAAGAAATTAAAACTTCAGTGATGTTAATAGAATAATTAAGACAGAGTTGCAGAGAAAACAATCGATTATTTAACCTTCAACTCAGATCTTGCCAGCTGCTAATGTCAACAAACTGCAACAGGAGAATAATAAACTTTAATATCTAAACTGAGTTGTTAATAACTGAAGCACAGCAATGCAGACTCATTTTAGGAAATGGGCTGGATTGAAAACTTTGTATCACTTTAAATAAAATCTAAACAGATCAAACGCAACCAGTTATACAAGACATCTCTGGCTTTTGTAGACTGAAAAGGGGTAAAAAAAAAAAAAAAAAAAAAATTGTTTTAGGATCATTCCTATAACTTGGGAAGAAGTGGTCAGTTTTCTGCTAACCCACTATTGTGTTGAAGATCAGTAAAGAAAGATGGGGGGGGGGGAATGTTTACATTGTACCATCCAAAGTTTTTTTTTGAAGCGTTTGGGTTTTATTTATTGAGCAATAAAATGTGTTCCAGTCATTTGCTTTTGCTCTTCTATTACTGAGAGATAAACATCAATGCTGATCCTCCTTGAAGAGATGACTACTTAGGTTAGTTCTAAGATTTCTTAATGGGAAAAGATAGATGTAAGTGCCACTTGGGACTTCAACAAGTAACAGTGAGGGAACAATATTGTAGATCCTAGAAAGGGGATTTCCATAAGACAAAGTCAGTATGCTTGACTAAAATGTGGTATATCATTTATATAAATCCATTCCTTATTTACCACATTACTCATATTTTATGCTAAATTTTAAAAATTAATTACATTGATGCTTAGAGTTATAATTCAAGAACTAATTCATGTTGAAATTTATTTTTAGTCATTAGCAAGAATAACAAAAGTTTAGTCAGGCTGTATTCATAACTTGTATACATTGAAAGTAAAATTAGCAATTAGTCAATGTCATATGAACATACAAAATTATGCCTAAAGCCAGTTTTTATACACTGGCAGAAAGTAAAGTTGATTTAAGAGGATAGCTTTAGGAAAGAAAGTTATTTAATCTCTTTCAAAATAAGATTTATGTACACACAAGTGTAGAAGCAGAAACTATTTTGTAGGAAAAATGTGAGCATTGGTGATAAAGGACATCTTTTTTATGTCAATATTTAATCACAGAATGCATTATTGCATAAAGAGAAAATCCCAAGAAACAAGATTCTAAGGACAATCATTTTGAAATCATTTACATGACTTTTTTTTTTTTTTTTACAATAGTCAGCAAAATTAAATGTTTAAAAAGGAAATCTTGTTAGGAATTTCATATTTAAGATTTTAACTTAGAATGATTCAAATATTCTAAAATACAATTTAAATAGATTCAATTAAAAATTTATTCAGTTTATAGTAACGATAAAAAAAATCTGCATTATCAAAACTGAATTTTCATTTTAGGAAGTTTCACTTTAAAGTCAGATTTTGTATTTGTTTTTCATGTTATTCATTTAATATCAGATTATAAAAATATTAGGTTATATATAATAACTGTCTTAAAATGTATTAAATACTAAAAATAGGTTAAACTAAAATCAAACAACCTTATAAATAAATAAATAAAATTTCAAAATGACAGAACAAGCCCCACAAAGAACTTACCCACTATCTCCAAGAATGATTACTTTAAGTAGCACCTTCTTCCTTGATGCCATCTTTGCTGCACCTACTAGTTAGAGGGATCTTTCTGGAACAAAAAAAAAAAAAAAATAAATAAATAAATAGCTGTTTAAATACAAAACATTTGCAATTAAAAAAAAAAAAAAAAAAATAATATGGCTTATTTTTTGGTTATGAAAGTTAAAAATTCAGAAACAAATATGATAGGCAAGGCTAAATCAAGCAATGGAAGGACCTTGTGTTGATGTTAATATTAGCAGTTTCTTTATAAGGATATTCTTTGTGATTCT